TCAGATGCTTCGGCGTGACAGGAACAGATGCTCCGGCGTCAGGAAGAGCTCCGTTTTGCCCCGGAAACCTTGGAGCGGATGCGCTCGTGCACCGCTTCGAGTGGAGAGTGGTTGGATGTGGTGCGGGACTTGCAACGAGAAGTGGCCATCGAAACTCTGCTCTGGCTGGATGCTGGTAGTGTCTCAAAGTGGACCCCCCCAAATCAAGGTAATTATATAAGGAGGGCCATTTAATTTTGGATTTGTTTTTGTTTCCTTTTTTGGATGTTTTTTGTTTTTCGTGGCTTCTGGCTTCTGTGGCTTCTGCCTTTTGTGGCTTTTGGTTTCTGTGGCTTCTGGCTTTTGTGGCTTTTGGCTTTCGTGGCTTCTGTGGCTTTTGGCTTTTGTGGCGTTTGTGGCTTTTGGCTTTTTGGCCTATCCATCTATCTGTCTATATCTATATATCTAGGCCCAGGTCTACCAGGTGCCGATGAAGCACGTAACGGAGAGAGACCGAGTTGCCATCTATCTATCTATCGATCTATCTTTCTTTCTTTCTATTTCTATTTCTTTCTTTTTGGCAGCTGTTCTCCTTTCTCTTTTTGCATTTGCTTTTCCTGTTGTTTTCGTTGCAGAGACGAAACCACAAAAGCAAGCAAGCAAGCCAGCCAGCAAGCCAGCCAGCCAGCAAGCAAGCAAGCCAGCAAGCAAGCCAGCAAGCAAGCAAGCAAGAGCTGCTCACCTTTGGATCTGGTGTGCTGCTGGGGGGCCCCCCCCCCAACCCCCCCGCGCCAGGAAATCTGCACTTCATCCCCGACACCCGCGCCTGCCACGAAATCAATATTTTAAGGTGAACACCCCCGTGCAAAACTTTCTAACCAAGCAAATATGTCTCTATCTATTTATCTATCTATCTATATTTCTTTCTTTCTAGCTTTCTATCTTTCTATTCTATCTATCTATCTATCTACCTACCTACCTATCTATACTATGTATACTATTTTTTCTATGCTATTTATCTATACTATCTTTCTATACTATCTATCTATACTATCTATCTATACTATCTATCTATACTATCTATATTATCTATCTATACTATCTATCTATACTATCTATCTATACTATTTATCTATACTATCTATCTATACTGTCTATCTATACTATCTATCTATACTATCTATCTGTACTATCTATCTATACTATCTATCTATACTATCTATCTATACTATTTATCTATACTATCTATGTATACTATCTATCTATACTATCTATCGATACTATCTATCTATACTATCTATCTATACTATCTATCTATACTATCTATCTTCACTATCTATCTATACTATCTATCTATACTATCTATCTATACTATCTA